ATTCCTGCTTCACCAGGTACTAATGATGGCTGTAGAACAGCAAGTTTTATCTCTTGGAGGGGGGTTAGAAGCTAATGACTGGATTTTGCATCTTTCATGTGTTCTGCTTTCTCCCACACAGCTCTCTGATGATAGCTGTAGGGTCAGTCATCTTCCAGTATGTCCTTAGTCTGTCAGGCTGGGGCTACCAGGAGAATGTTTGGTCCCAATATGTCGCCATTTCGTTTGCATCCCACTGAGGAAAGATGAAAGCCTTTTAAAAAGCAGGAACCTTTGGGACCAGATTGGTGCCTTCAGGGCTCTCTGACATCTTTACTAAAGACACAGTAGGATCATGTGGACTCCACTTTCATTAGGTCTTTCTCACTGAATGTGGCTCTAAGACAGATCTACACAATGACCACGTCTCAGTGCATTTTAAGTAACTGTAGTTAATCACAAGTACTGTTATAATAATCCTTAATAATAATTTGTCTTTAGTTAGATTCTAAAGATAATCTTAGCTAAGTATTGTTTATAGGCTTATGTTTTTTCTACTCCCAAATTCTTAGTCCTTTTCCAGAGTTTACCTGTGACTTGGTTTTTCTCTTTTTCTCAAAATTGTAAGAACAGTTCTTACAGCTTAGTAATAATGGTCATGTTCCAATAATTTCCTTTAAAATATATCTATTAAATGTTCAGTATTTACTAGTGTCCTCATCACTTACTTCCTTTCTATTCTACAATTTTACCTTCTTCCAAGCTGTTACAGATATTATATTTTGACTTGTAACAAATACATGTGACAGAGGAGGAGAATATCTGCATAAGGAGTTGCTATATTCTAGTAACTTTTGGTAAATTAACTTGTTCTTTTGGTAGATGCACTTCAATGTAATGTATAAGTATTTAAGCACCTATCACCCATGTATTTGCTTTTGTGGTCAGCTCAGATATATCCCAGGGGCCACACAGGCAACAATTTCAGGACTAGTTTAGATTAAAAACCTCTTGCTGGACTGAGGAGGGAAAAGTGTAATTTCTGCTACACATGAGAATAACATGATCCCCTTAAGGTAATGTTAGGGCCCTGAAAAACACAGGTGTTTACAGACTGATTGTGATGATCTTATTTGCTTCATTACTACAGCATAAGTGCAAAACAGATGGTGGTAGATGGTGTGTGGGGGAATATTTCACCAGTGTTTTGTTTTTGAACTCCACCAGGGAATCCAGCGCAGAATCACAGTCACCATCATCCATGAGAAGGGCAGTGAGTTGCACTGGAAAGATGTGAGAGAGCTGGTTGTTGGTGAGTATAACCTGCTTTGCAGGATGCTGTGCAAGGAACAAAAAGCACTGGTGGTAATTTCTCTTTGTATTAGATGGTGAGCTTCATGAGTTTTGACTGTGAGGGGTGGATTTTGAAAAAGATCCAGAGGAAAACACTTGAATTTTGAAGCTTCAACTTCCAGCTGCTTGTTAATCACATAGTCTGAAATTATATTTGGGAAAACAAATTATTTCTGTGTTTCAGGTTTAGTTTTAATTTATTTCCCCTCCTACCCTTTTCAGGTCGTATAAGAAATAAAGCAGAGGTAGATGAAGCTGCTGTGGATGCTATTCTGTCTCTGAATATTATCTCTGCAAAATACCTGAAGTCCTCTCACAGCTCCAATAGGTAAGGGAATCAAGTGAGCACTCTTGCAGGAATGTAAAATTTCTTTGACCTCTGAAGTATTGGCAGGTTGTTTGGAAAACTGAGAATGCTGCTGATTATTAAATGTAGAATTCCATGGGCACAAGGCATAGAGAGAGAATGAATGTTACCATAAATTATTGCTGAAGCTGAAGTCTGGAGGATTTCTTGATAATGCATTTGAATTATTTTCCATTTGTAAGCACCATAAAAAGAGGATGGAAAGGAACAGCTTAAGGGAGGGTCAGAATTTAACCTAGAACTCAGAACGGACATCAAGGTTTATTGCTAGAATACAGCATTGAAATACAAATGCAGTCTCAGGAGATGTATTTATGGATGTGTAGGTACCTGTATTATTGCAGGAGCAAGCATGTGACAATTTCAGCAAGAGCCATGCTTTGCAAATTAAACTTGATAATTTATGAATTTATACAGATGCCTCACAAATTGACTCCAGTCCTAATAAGGGGGTGTCTGTTCCATGTAGCTGCAGTCTGGGCAACAGCAGGGCCCCTATCTGAGTGGTTTCTGGCTGCTGTCTGTCCTCGTCGGGCTGTGTGGCTGGAAAGATGCAGGCAGGCTCCACGTTGTTTGCTCAGAATCTGCACCAAAGGACAGTGAAGCAGAAGCTGCAGGGCCGGCACAGCCTCGCCCTGCTCTGACATCAGCCAGTCACTTGACCACTCCACAGCTCTTTAGCTGGTACAAAGCAGGAATATCTCTGAAATTTAACCCTGAATGAGTGTTTCCAGAGCCCATTTCTGCTGCAGCTGCCGAATGCTGGAGGCAACACCCCTCTAGGCACTGAAATGGCTTCATCCTTTTCCATCAGAGGCTTGGACTTTAAAATAGCGCTGCGATATTGAAGGTGGATTCAGGACCCTGCTCTGAATGTCCTGCCACCTAGTGTCTGTGAGTGCTGGCAGTGAGGGGGTTTTCTAGCAGTTATCTTTGCCTCCCAGTGAGATGTGGGCATTTTACTTTTAGTGTATTGGATTAATGTATCAGTGTAACTGGAACATCAGGGAACTGTTGGTGGTTTCCAGTCTGGAACTATTGAATTTGCAGTTGGAAAACTCGGTATTTTCTGTTCTCTAGCAATTGCAAGAAATTCCTTTGTAGCTCTGTAGTTTTTGATAGGTGGGCCACTTGGATAAAGATGAGTGTAAGTGAAGTGAAGGTGTTGACCATCTCTTAACAAAATGTTAAGGTTTAAGTTGTGGGATGAGCTTCTGGCAGAGTGGTGGTGTGGGATTGAAGCCCTGGTGAGGGGTGTGTCTTAGATTTGCTCATTGTCTGCAGACTTGTCTTCTGGCTGGTGCATATTTTATTTTTTTTTTTATATCCACTTGTTCTGTTCCTCTCAGCTATTGGTTTTCTGTTCTGCTCTTGGCTGCACTAACTGAAGCTCTTTCTATGTTTTTACAGGCTCTTTCTTGATAAGGATATGCCTAGGTATTTTCTGTTTGCTTCCTTTGTACATAAAGATTCTTGAGAACAGAATGCTTTATGTCCCATTTGTATTGCTGCCCTTTCCCTTGTAGCTTTTACTGAACTTTGTTAGCAGCCTCTTAGCTGTTCCAGAAGTAGTTGTGCCTGATTCCTCCTCCTCCTTTGTGTTGGAAGTTTATTGTGGTACAGTCCAGTGGGGAACTTGTGAGGGTAAATGTCACAAGTAAGAAATAGTTTCCTTTGTTCAGTCTTTCCACTTGTCAAAATATGCCATCAGAATATAGTCCCTGTTGGTAGTGCTTGATACTTTCTTTCTTTGTTCTGTATCAAAGATCTAAATTTGGAATTTCTTACTGTCTCTGACTCCTTAATGCCTGCCATGTTTGAAGTACCAAATCAAGGGCTGAATTATTAGGTTACTTGAAATTCCAGCCATGTGACTGGCATTCAACCTCTGTTCTTTGGGTGGATTTGCATCTGAAATTTAACCATGCAGTTGCGGCTACTTAGTTTACCAGTTGGCAGAGAAGTAAGACATGTAGTAGCTGCTCAGTCAGGATTCCTTTCACCTTCCAGGCTGGATCCCAGCCAGGTGTGCTGGCCGCACAATCTGGGACAATTTGCACTCTGGTTTCTCTGTTCTGCACCTTTGAAAAAGGGAAGACTTTAAGTCTTCAGTCCTCTTGATTCACCACCTTTCACTAACATCCACTGAAAAGTCAGTTTTAACTGTGTATTGGTGCCTTTAACCTGTTTCTCCTGTTTTCCATGCTTTGCTTGTTCTATGCTCCATTTCCCTCCTTGTGCTGTTGTCTATGCTGAAAGAAGTTTGCTCACTTCTGATTTTTGTCTCCCTTTCTTAACTATTACAGCAAGTTCTGGTTTGGACAGACAAGACTGTGTATATTTAACTTCCTGGCTAGACAAAATCCAGTAGAGTAACTGGAAGATATGTTTGACTTCAATCTGGTGTTCATCCAAAAACCCTAATTTTGCTAAATGGGGGCATTTAGTTCTGCACGGATGAACAATTTACTCCTGTGTTCTCTCCTCATGATGGGAAGTCATGTTTGGCAATGGTGCAGAGCTGATTCGGGGGCTAGGTACACTGGCTTTCCCATCTGTGAAGAACCAGGTTTTACTACTTATTCCACCTAGACAGCAGATCTAGAGCTTACTAAAAGTTCAGAAAATCGCACTCATAGTTAAGACATGATGAAAGAGTAAAACATAAGAGACTCAACACAGATTTGTTAAGGGTTAGAGGACAACCTGTGTTGCTTGTCTAATCTAATTCGAGTAAGGATTATTATATTACAGTGCTTTTAAAGTTAACAATTACTTAGCCTTGAGTATAAGTATGTAGCATTTTTAATAGAGGTGAGACATTTAGAAGTAATTTCTGAACTATGTTATTTTAAATGAAAACAGTATATAGCAATGTTCATGGTGTCTCAGTGTGTTAGCTTGGAATTGTATAATTGGTATTAGGAAAAGGGGATTCTTGGAAACTCTGAGATCAGCACTCTTTGTTTTTGATATATCTGCTCTTAGGCTGCTTCATGTTTCTTTTTCCTTTGTTTTTTGTTATTTCTTCATTCCACCCCCACCCTGCTTTTTGTCGTTTGTCTTCAGTTAAATTATTACTTTTTTTTCTGAGTTGGCCTTGGGCAGAAGTACAGAAGCTCATTTGAGATATTACTTGTTTTTAAAAAATAATATACTCGAAATGGGATGGAAGACCTCAACAGCAAGGGGGCTTGGGAGGGAAATTACATGGAGGTGATGAAGAACTAATGTCTTATTTTTCTGTTACCAGTGTAGAAAACTCCAAAGTGTGTTGTATTCCTGAGTAAGGGTATAGGATTTCTTCCCAAAGGAACTTATAGGAGATGAGTCTCATTTCTCTAAGCCCCTGTTAGAGAGGAGAGAGTGTAATGGTGACTCTAGACCTGATGATTCAGCTGACCTGTGCTTGATGCTGTCTCTTACTTTGTACTTGAACAGGTGAACCTCCCTGATTGCTGGGATAGAACTTGAGGGAGCATTCTGCTCCTTTCTTTTAATGTACCAAATTGAGTAACTTCTCACAAAAGTTTGTTTTTACTTGAAGCTAGTGGGAATGTAGGAAGAAATTTTTATCCATTGAATATAGGACTTACCCCGACCTATGAGCCATTCTGATTTGCTATCAGAAGCTGCTGGTTTTATATGAGGGAGTTAGTCTTAACATATGGTGTAGAATGCATGTTCATTACAATAAAGAATCTTCCCATGTACTGTGGAGGTCCATCTGGGCTGAATTGCATCTGAAGCAATAGGGAGGAATTCTGTCTGTTTTAGAACAACTATTCTTTAATGCTAACTTCCTTGTAGTGTGCTGACAGCTTTTGTTCTCTATATTCCCTCTTTTCTCTTGGATGGGTCCTTTTCATAAGAGGCAAGGGTCTCTTTTGCCTTGAGCCTGAGGTACAAGTAAGTAATCCTGGGAAAGAAGAAAAGGTCTTTGCTTCACATATTTGTTATCTAAACCACTGAGATCAATGACAATCATAGTAGATGTTGTCAAGGAAGAGATGCTTTACACTGACCAATGAGAGGGGTGCAGAGGAACTTACTATTCATCTTGTTCTGTACTTTTTTTCTAGGACTTTCTATCGGTTTGAAGCAGTTTGGGATAGCTCCTTGCATAATTCCCTGCTCCTCAATCGAGTGACACCGTATGGAGAGAAGATATATATGACCCTTTCTGCTTACTTGGAGGTTAGAGACCTGCACCTTGCTTTTTGCTTGTGCCTCAGATGTAACTCTTTGTGACAGCAGACAGTGTGTACCTGAGATAAAACAGTGAAAGTCTTCATTCATTTCCTGGGAGCAGAGTGGAAAAATTTATTCAGTTAGTGTATTGATGTTGAGAGGCAGTGATACCTTGACAATTGTGAAACTGGTGATGTCCTTACCTTTTTATGCCTCATTTTATCTATCTTTTTATCTGAAAATCCATTGAAATCAGTGAATGTTGCTATGTCAGTACTACTTGTGTTACAAACACTGGCCTAGTACAAACACTGGCTTAGCTCTTGGCTTTGCATGCAAGACACTGTTTTGTGTAGTACAATGATTTCACCCACAAGATGCATCGAGAAATTTGACAGCTTTCTTTCAGAGAAACACATTAAAAAACCCCTTCACCAAAGATCCAAACAAGAACAAATTTCAAAAAGCTGTCTCACTAAAACAAGGAAGCAGTATGACTTGGCACGGTTGTCTGTAGCCACTCATTCATTCCTTTTTTTTCCTCTTAGCTTGACCACTGCATCCAGCCTGCAGTCATAACAAAGGATGTTTGTATGGTCTTTTACTCACGAGATGCCAAGATCTCCCCCCCACGATCACTGCGCAACCTCTTTGGCAGTGGCTACTCCAAATCTCCAGATTCGTAAGTTCAATAACCAGTTTTGGTGTCAGTCTTTCATGTCACCATATACTTTTTGTCTTAGACTGCATGGGGAGAAGTTTCCTTAGTTTTTTCTTAGTTTTCTTTATCTCTTCCTTGAAAGTATACCTAGTTACAGTTCTTCAGTCTGGTTCTGAACATTCTTGCATGCTGGCATTTATTTGTTTGGCAGTGAAACACTGATGGCTTCTGTCTTTACTGACAGATTTTCCAGCCTTCTGACTGAACAGTTAGAGATCCATTTTTCAAGCTTGCACATAGATAACCCTCATCCTGACCTGGAATTTACTGCAGCAGCTGTTCTTTTGAGTCTAAGTGGGGTGGGAAACATTGGGGAAGTGCCATTTTTACAGGTCTTGCAGTCTGTCCTGACTACTTTATATCAAGATTAGAATAAAGATTTGGTTCTAACAACTATCCTTAAACTTCTAATTTGGGGACCACTTAGCTAAAGCTATTACACTTCATTTCTGCAGATAATAGTTGTGGGCTTTTTTCTTTTCTTGTGAACAGCAATCGAGTGACTGGGATCTATGAACTAAGTTTGTGCAAAATGGCAGACACAGGAAGTCCAGGTGAGCAGTGACCAGATGTTCAAACTAGAAAGATGCTGTAAACTGAAATACTGCAGAAAATTTAATGGGGAGAACAAACTGTAAAACTCTCTCCTGATGGGACACAATTCCTGTGTTTCACAGGAGCAATGGAACATTGCCATTCCATAAAAAACTTATGCAGGCTTTCTCTTTCCACTTGGATCTGTGTTTAACATTGGTGAGCCAAGGATTCACTGAGAACTTTACGTTTTCTGATATGGGTATATCAGGAAACTAGGGATGTACCTGGGTCATAGACTTGGAGGCATAATACATGGCTCTTAACTAACACAGTTGAGACTTGGTTTTGCAGCAGTAGAGCTTCCTCTTGGCTTTTAGAAGGTATGGTTTGATGACTTAGAAGGCATGTAGTTCATGTAGTACCAGTTCCTCCAAGACCTAGCAACTGAAGTTCTTGTGTTGAATGAGACTGAACAGGAGTTTGCATTATATGGTGGTCAACAGAAAATTCCTGAACGCAGCAAGAGAGCTGGTCTTAATCAGATCTCTTTGGGATGTGTGATTGCTGCTACTGACATCATTGCCTTGTATATTTCCAGCCAAACAGTGGAACTGTTGGTTTTTCACAAATTGCTGTTGGGTGTTTGTTAATGTCATCCCTCTGACTATGTTTTTCACATGTTTTCTGTTGTTTTTTTCTGCTCAGGAATGCAGAGAAGGAGGAGGAAAGTCCTGGATACATCTGTGGCATATGTGCGAGGAGAAGAGAACCTGGCAGGTTGGAGGCCCAGAGGTGACAGCCTCATTCTAGAGCATCAATGGGAACTGGAGAAACTGGAGCTGCTGCATGAGGTGAGTAAAGACACAGCAGAAATGAAAGAAAAAGCACAGCTGTGTGTTTGAGTTTGCCTTTAGTTTAGCCACTGTGAGACCACCTGAGTTGAATGGGTTCCAAATTAGGAGTTCGTTCTCAAAGTCAAGATGTAATTTCTCCAACCGAGAGGACAGAAGGTGGGTGGGGCTCTGCTGGGTAGAACCTTCAGCTCAGAATATTGGTAGATTGCACTTCTAGTGCCATTGTAAACTCTCTTCCCAGTGGAAAGTGTTTACTGGTATGAATCTTAAAAGAATGCATAACTGTTTACTGGTATGAATCTTAAAAGAATGCATAAGAATTCCTTGCCTGTAAAATAGGGAACATCCTGGAGTTGATACCAATTTCCTTTCCTACTAGGTGGAAAAAACCCGGCATTTCCTTCTGCTTCGTGAAAAGCTTGGTGACAGTATCCCCAAGTCCCTGAGTGACTCCTTGTCTCCCAGTCTGAGCAGTGGAACCCTCAGTACCTCCACCAGCATTTCCTCTCAGATTTCCACAACAACATTTGAGAGTGCTGTGACACCCAGTGAGAGCAGTGGCTACGATTCAGCAGACATAGAGAGCCTGGTGGATCGGGAGAAGGAGCTGGCAACCAAGGTAGAGCATGGGAAAAGCAGCTTGGGTCTAAATTGAGGTGATGTTGCCAGAGATCATGAATGATGAACTTCTCAGGTAGCATGATGAATATTCAGTATTGTGTGAGTTTCATTTTAAGGTGCCTTGGAGTGAAATAATACCTTCTCACCAGCCAGTGCTGGTGGCTGGGTTTGTGCTATGGTTGTACCTCATTCCCCCGCATCAGTAGTTCTGTAAATGAAACTGTAAAAGTGATTGTTCCCTTCTGCTTCTGGGAGTTTTCACAGCAGTTTTTAGCATTTGTTTGTTCTTTAATGAGCTGCCAAGCGTGTCTTGAGAAATCGTGTTCAAATTGCTCTGAAAATCTAAATATAAAATTATTTTCTAAAGGTTTTTTTTTTTTCTCTGCCTAGTGTCTGCAGCTTCTGACTCACACTTTCAATCGGGAGTTCAACCAGGTGTACAACAGCATCAGTGACTGCAAGGTCAATATTTAATCCCATACAATATACTGTATTTGTAGTGTGATTTGTAATTTGTGCAATCTGTCCATATTATGAAGGGACAAAACCCTTCATATTAATTTTCTGTCTTTTCAGTCTGTTGGAAGCATTTGGCTATTCAGTATCAGGTTCCAAAGACCATTGCAAGCCATAGAAATGGTGTGAACTTGCACTGTAGCATAGTTACTAGTTCATTAGCAGACTGGAAGTGTTCTTATCTTTCCCAACATACACTTCCCCTATGTAAAGGATAAATTGGCTGTTTTAAAAATTGTGACTGTAGGCACAGGGGGCACCAAACTGCAGACTGGATAGTCTTAATTTGACTAAGTCAGGGTGTGGATAATCAGAGGTGCAGCACATGAATAACAAGCTGTGTCTACAGAAGTACCAGCATCACGTTTTCACCCCCAGTTGGGTTTTTGAAGGTTGTGTGTGTGCAGAATTTGCTACCGAGTAGGGAAATGGTTGCTAGAAATCCCTTTCTGTGATCCGAGCCCTCTGCATGCTGAATGCTGTGTTCTAGCCAGGACTGAGCACTAGCTAGAAATCACTTCCCCTGTAATATTTTGCCTCTTTTTGCCCTTGTAGCTGTCAGATATTTCCCCGATTGGGCGGGACCCATCAGTGTCCAGTTTCAGCAGTGCTACCCTCACACCTTCATCTACCTGCCCTTCTCTGGTGGATTCCAGATGCAACTCAATTGATCAGAAGTAAGTATAGGGTAGTAATAGGAAAGCATTACTTATCAGTGCTTCCCAGATCTCTCTGCTATGTTTTCTGATTTTTTTCCCCCATTCCTTTTCTCTGTTTCCCAGATGTCTTTGTACAGCCCCTCTGCCTTTTCCAATCACTCTGCACAATTATTTTTTCTATTTTGTTCTTTTTAAGTATTTTTCTTTTCTATAGAAGATATTTTTTTATGAAATCTGGAATAACTACTTAGTGAAAGATGTGTAATTTGTACCTTCTTAGTTTAACATTCCTAGAAGAGGAGTTCTGAGAAGTAGTACATCTAATATCAAACCATAGTGAGACAACTCTCTGTGTTGTGACTGTATTTGGCAAGAGAAATATTGGGGAAAAGAGAAGTATTGGGGAAACAACCTATTAGCAGTTATTAGAAGTTTTATTCCACAGATTTCAAGGGAAATGCTATTTGATATAGTGCAAAAGGATCCCAATGTCATGCAGAAAATCTGGACTGAAGAATAAAGACAGGCTGGGCTGTAGATGGACTCTAAATTCCATTGTCACATTCAGTTGGTTTGTTGTAATTTACTTTTCTTTCTGTGCCTTTTAAAATTCTTTTTCTCAAAGGACACCAGAAGCAAATTCTCGTGCCTCCAGTCCCTGTCACGAGGTGGAACAGTTCCAGCTAATTCCTGCAGTAGAAACTTCCTATCTTGCCAGAGCTGGAAAGAATGAATTCCTAAACCTTGTTCCTGATATTGAAGAAATCAGACCAGGGTGGGTTTACTGTTGCAGTGTGACCTTGGCTTCTGAGAGCTGACACTGGGGCTTTCTGAGATTTGTAGTCTCCTTGCCCCATTTGGGAAAGGTAAATTAAATGGGTGGTGGCAGAACTGCAGAGTTCTGGATGGTGGAGGCAGGATTGATGAGAGTTGTGTTGATCTTTGATCTCTGCAGCATTAATTTCCTGCATCTACTTAATATACAGGATTTCTAGCAACTTAATTATTGTGTATGATCATCAAAACCATTAAGTTCATGGAAGTAGAGATCTCTGGGTCCTTCTGTCAGACTTCTGCATAGTTCTTGAAGACAAAATTCAACTTAATATAGAACTTTTTCATATGACTGTTGCAGACAAAACATATTAAGAACCAAGTGTCTTATACAGTGTTTTACAGTTGCTAGGGATACTCAGTAGGTGCCTTATTTAAGGGGAAAATATATTCTGGTTTATCTTATTTTGATTTGGTCTTTTTCCAGCTCTGTGGTCTCAAAGAAAGGATACCTCCACTTCAAGGAGCCACTCTCCAGCTCCTGGGCCAAGCACTTTGTGGTGGTTCGTCGTCCCTACGTTTTTATTTATAACAGTGACAAAGATCCTGTAGAAAGAGGAATCATAAACTTATCCACAGCTCAGGTGGAATACAGTGAGGATCAACAGGCCATGGTAAAGGTGAGTTTGAGAGCTATTGTTCGTTTACCACAGAGCAGGAATATTACAAGCAGTAGAACCTCCACACCATCCTGTGTGTCAGCTCAGGTCTGAGGAGGATGGATCTGTGTTTTGGAGAATGTCTGGCATGGGATGAGTCTGCCCACAAAGTTCTACACACAGTTTACAAGATGCACAAACTGCTGCTAGATACTCAGTTTGCATTTGTGAGCTTGTGTTGGTGCCATCACCCTGTGTTCTCTGTTTTTGTAGTTTCCTTTCTGTGGTGTTTGGGGTTGTGTGTTTTGTTTGCTTAAAAAAAAAACCACAACAAAACAACACGCACAAATATCCCACCAGGAATCAAATCAACTTTACGGGTCCATCTCACCAGCTCTTTAGGTTCACCCTCATAAGTTAAAACTGCATTTTGTAGATCATGTCCCATTTGACTAATAATATCCTGGAAATGACTAGTGAAGCTTTAATTAAAGACTTTAGGTCTCGTGGTTTTTAGGAATGTGACATAGCAAACTTTCTCAGAGAGGAATTGTGCAGCAGCTTCTGTGCTTCTAGACTTCAGTATTTTAAATTGTCCTTAATATTCCAGACACCCAACACATTTGGTGTATGCACAAAGCATCGTGGCGTCCTGCTTCAGGCCATCAATGACAAGGACATGAATGACTGGTTATATGCCTTCAATCCACTCCTTGCTGGCACAATAAGGTAAGAGGCAGCTCCTGGGCAGGCAGTGCTGCAAAGCCTAAGTAGTAAGATAGTCATAAGTAAGTAGGCAGGTAGTTTGTCACTGAATTTAATCTTTTGCTGAAGGATTTGGCACGATGGGTGAACTGAAGGAGGGAGGAGGGTGGGCAAGGAGTGAAAAACATCAGTCCCTCCATTTCAGGAAGTGCAGTGGCTGTTGCTTTGGCTGGTGACATTCTGAGCGGATGTATTCAGTTTCTGAACGTGTGTCATATGCTTCATGCAATACTACTTTGGGAGCCCACAGAGTGGTTTCCTTATATAGCTGTTTTACAAATTTATAAAGCTTCTTGCTGCCTTTGTGCAGACAGATGGGGATTGAATGTGAGCTGAAGCAGAAATTCTCATTTCCTTCCCTTTTTTGAATTTCTCTAGAAGCCTTCCCTTTGACTCAGGTCACAGACATCCCCAGCTTGCTGAAGAGACCTTACTATGCTATGCTTCCTTTCAGTACAAAAAATGTAATTAAAAACTGAAGCTATTACTGTAAAAAGGCAAATAATTTCTTAACAGTGCAGTTCTTAACAGATCCCTTTAAAGGAGCACAGCAGAAGAGTGAGAAGTCATTCTTACTATAGTCCTTGATATATTTTAGGTTTTCTAAACATATAAAGTAAACTAGGACTGAACGAAAGCGTTCTAAAAAAAGGTGGACACACTGTGGAGGGGGGGGGAAGAAAAATAAACTTCCAGTGTTCAACAGATACTTTTTCACTTCTTTCCTGTGCAGGTCGAAACTGGCTCGAAGACGCACGGGCCAGCTGAAGTACTGAGTCCATGTAATGTTCTCATCTGTTCTCCCTGACTCACTTTCCGATAGATGAAGTGTTACCTCTCATTTTCTCTTTGTGATTCTTGACGGTTTCTCTTGTATGTAATCCTGTGGCTTAACCTCCCCTACCTCCCCCAGTCCTTCAGCACATTTTGTAGGTATTCTAACCCTACCTTGTTTCTTTTCACTTGTGCCGAGAATCCTACTTAGTAGCATGTGGAGAAACAAAAAGAGAAAGACAAAAAAAATGTTAAAAACCCAACAAAACAAGTGATTATGCACGACTCTAAAAAGAAAAAAAAAAAAAGTTATTTATTTTTTCTTATAACACTTGTTTTCCCGTTCCATCTGACCTTTGGTGTCTGTCCCACTGTCCATTGTTGTCCGTCTAGACTGCTGCAGGTTTTTCATTCAGTTTGTGACTTGGCAATAGTCATTGGTTCCCTCAGGGCAAAGTTCTAATGCCAGGGAAAGATCAGTTCTTCTATGTAGATGTTACCCAGCCAGGAACTGCAATAGCTCCTCAGGCTTTCTGGATCCAGCTGCTAATTTAAACTCTGTTGTAAAGCTGATATTGGACAAATCTATCTGGGCAGACTGGCTTTTGGACTTGGTGCAAGTTTTTGAGTTTCCAGGGTCCAACAGGTGAAGGCATGAGCTGGAAAAAGGGGGGGAATAAACTAAGAGGGGCTGGCTGGAAAAATCTGCCTTTAAATTCTTGCTGTAGGGCTGCAAGTGAACAGTGTTTGGCTTTACCTCTTTCCCAAAACAGTAACATTCCTCTGCCTCTGAACTGAGCCGAGGAGACAGAACTTGTGCTGATGTGAGGAAAATAAACCACGTCACTGAAATATTAGATAGAATCCCTGAAGTTTTGGATCCTCAGACTCGCACTGGACAGATGGAGAGTGTTAAGGGAAAGTGTGGGTGTTCCCTTGAGCGCTTTCAGGAGGTCACCACGAGAGGGCAGCAGCTCCTCTTTCTGCTGTTGGTCCCGACTTCTGAGTTCCTGTAGCAACAGTTCTCACCTCTCTTGGAAGAAATTTACCGGTTGTCTTTGGCATGCGAGGACAGACTGCTCTGTGGCACCGTTCTGAAAGGCCTTGTGCATGCACCCCTCATGTGTAGTACTCAGATGACATCCATCTGGTCATGGGGAAAGCATCCTCTGTCTACAAAATGATTTCTAGACCGAGCACTTGCAGTATTCTCCAGGGAACAGCAGGACACTTCTGCCTCCTTTTGGAATAACTCTTGAATGTCTCCTAATTCCCCTGCTATAATTTTCATCAGCTAGAACCCCCTAGTTAGTTTTAACTTTAGAATTAATCCTTACTGGAGGATGGATCAAGTAGACTCCAGCCCTGGTTGGTGGGGTGTAATAATTGGCTTATTGGAGATGAGCTGGTGGTGTTAGTTCTTGACCTACAATGTAAGTTCTCCTTATGGCTAAAGGTTTGGTCCTTACCCCAATAAAGGAAAGTGGAATTAATTTCCTTATTCATTTTTCTTAGTTGTGTTTTCAGGGAGGTTAGTGGGGCAAGGGGAGGGTGGTTTCTTTTACTGTTTCAGACTGCTGTGCTGTACTTTCTTGACTCAACTTGGACACTGGTAGGACTAGCTGTGATCCTGGGAAGTACACAGGAATTTCATCCTGACCTTCCAGCCTCTCAAGGGAGAGATGAAAAGGTGTTGTTCCACTCTTACAGTAGGCACAGGCCAGCTCAAGAAGGTCATTTTGAATCAGCTCACTCATCAGCAAGTCATGCTGTGCATTGAAAGGTCTATGGTCAGAAGTGTCAGTGGGACTGGCATCAGTTGAGCACATTTTAGCTTTACAGGGTTTTCATTCTTCAGTAAAGTGCAGTGCCCAGGGAGACACCAGAGCATGTTTGGCAAAGGAGCAGGGAGACAGAGTCTGACACTTGCTAGGACTTATCTTTATGTATTTCAAGGTAGTATCTCCTGTGGTCCTCTGATTTCAGAACTGGAAGCCAGAGTGAGGGAGCACCCTGGGGACCCAGGAGCATAATAGGGATGTTCATTTTTTCTTCTTCTGTTTTTTGTCTTGTTTAACTGTTTGTGACTCTTAATGCAGTGATGATATTCCTTTGTTATGCAATGGCTGATAATGCACTTCCAGTGTGTGGATAAATAAACCTGCTGGTGCTGCAGGAGGGCTCCCAGGCTGGAGCTAAGCTGATCTCCAGACTTAAGCTAATTTTAAGCACTTAAGTTGTTCCTATCACCACCATTTAGAATGAAAGTGGAACCAGTTTGAGGAGGTGTAGTGATTTAGGTGGGGGTATTTTGTGACACGCTGAGAGCATTTTAATTTTTATCTTTTTCTTTTTTTAACTAGAAGAAAACTAGTTGGCTAAGTCTTTGCTTTGGATAAGCCAGAAAATGAACTAAGGAAATACTGGCATTGCATAAAAACATGATTAAGGGATCTTCCTTTAAAAGCAGGAAGAGACAGATGCTTATTTTATAGACATCTGGAGATGTTACAGCTGTGTTGCATAAATGTTATTCTTCTATCTGAAGACCCCAAGCAGCTTCTGATGGCTTGATGTATCTGTGGATGGTAGCTCCTCAGAAGACCAAAATTCTGTTTTTAAGCATCAGTATCTCTTAAAGCTGCATAATCTGTGACAAAATTGATTCTTGTTTTGTGGAGTCCAAATGGGCATTGCCATTTCCAGGTCTGACATCAAGGCACACAGTTACAGATTTTCACTAGTTATTGAAGCCTAGTTTGAGACACCAGTTTCCCTACCTAACACTGGACTAAAATAAATTCAGGTGTTTTTTAAAAGCGTAACAAAATAAAAAAAAGTGGATTTCCATTCACTTCAAATCTTTTTTGGTCTAGCCCAACTTGTTAGATATTTATTTTCAGAAAACAGGGCAAGAAGGGAAAAATGTGCTAAGCTGCTTTCTTTGGACATTTAAAAGGCCCACTCTTGGTTACCTGCTGTGTGTGTGTGTGTGAGTCCTTGAGTCAGCCAGCTCTTGGGACTCAGCCACTGCAGAGAGGCATCATGCTGTGGGCCTGCCAGCCCATGGAGCATATGCACTAGTAGCAAACTTGGTAGGCATTTCTTAGAGAGAATGAGAGTGAAACTGTGCTGCATTTTGGGTTTTTTTGTGTTCCTAGCTAAAAGGAAGGAGAAAATTACCTTTTTTTGTCCATTGAAAACTACGTTGCTGGTATTGTAGCTTCCTGGGCATTTTAAAACTAAACCAAAACTCCTATACTGTATTTTAGAAATGCACTTTAAGTACCTTTTTAAAGAAAATTCCTATATTCTGGGATGAAGAAGGGAACATGACTTCCAAACCAGTGAGAAAAAGGGGTTATTTTGGTCAGTGTCTAATAGTCCTTATTACTGATTAGCAAAGAATTTCAAAGCAAAGACTTTACTTCTTGCTGCTTGTTATCTAATTTACAGGGATTTAATTTTATGTAATGTATATTTATACATCTGTAATTATTTGCACATTGGATAAGAGGATTAGCTTTGTTCTAACACCCATTGGTACTATACAATCAACTAATACTGCCTATGCATATGCATCTTTCTGGTACTCTTGCACAGCCTTGGTTTGTGTTAGTTTTTACTGTGGTGGGTGTTTTTGTTGCAGATGCAGCTGTGAACCTGCTGCTGAAAGGAAGGATGATAATGCTGCTCTGGAAGGGTTTGCTGAATGTACTTCAAAATGGGTCTCTAACGTGTGCGTTGCATCTCTCAATTGTGGTGAATAACCCCAATCTGTGGTCTGAACTGTACTGTACGTAGCAGGAATGTATTAATTTTGTGCTTCCTTGTTTAAAAAACATCAGCTGTTCAAGAACAGGATTGACTCCTTTTGTTCAGAAGGCCATTTATGCGTTCTAAGTATTTGAAATCAAAACTAGTCCAACACGAACCAGATGGTTGTGTCCAATGTTATTTGGAACAGCTTTTAAATTAACAGGATCAGCTGTGTATTCAGAAAACTGAGGGTATGGAGGCCATAAGTCTTCAGTTTTTAATGTTGCCAAGTTAATGGCCTGATCCTGAGCAGTACTGACCTGCCTGCTGCTTGCCTGGACCCCAGGGACCAGAAGCAGAGGGAGTCCCAAATGATCCCAGCACTTCCCAGGATCAGTTCTTTATTTTCCCCTCTGTTCATACTTCATGTGCAGTTGGTTACAGTTCTTGAATTTGGACATCAGACATGCTGTTGCACTGAAATACATACTTTTTAAAATTTGTGGTCCCCATTTCCCTGTTTAATCTCTCTGTACACAAGGTATACAAGGTATATGCTGTATAAGTGGCCTTCTTGAACAAATATCTGCAAACTGATTTCATCCCAGCGAAGGAGTGTATCAGCACCACTGTACATTAATTTCAGGTTTTCATTTTCTTATTTTATTTTGTAAATATATCTGATATTTGGAGCTTGAGTATACAAAATGTAAATATAGTTCATGTATTTGTACTAATTCTGATCCATTTGCTGTATAGCCTTAGGTGTGCAATGCAGATATCTAACTGTGTATGGTAACCTTGCACCACTGAATTGTTAGTGAACGAGGTGAAACAATAAAGGTACAACCAGTGCATTAGCAGATATGATGTCTTCTCCTTTAATTATTATTTGTTTACTAGTACCTTATGTGGATTACTTTTTTCAAAACCTGTCCTGAACAAACTTATGCTTTTGTGAAGATAAATTTGTTTTGGTGGTTCTTGAGAAAGATGAGAGGCCCTTCTCATCCTTCCTCATCCTGTTCCATTTGATGTGTTGCACAGCATTTCTAAGGGGTTTTTGGTTGCTTACAAAAGATTCTTTTCCTTGAAAGATAAAACATGGGTGTCATGGTGCTGCTGCTGCTCAGCTTGCTTATCTGGGGGTGACAGTTGGAAATTACAGGAAGCGTGTGAAACCCAACCACCACAACGTGACAGCAAAGGGTCAGCACCAGCTCTGTGGACAAGGGTGTGTGAGGGAATCCCTGTGGATCTTCCCTAGCTTGGTCTGACAGTGTCAAGTTCTTTGCAGCTGTTAAAAGTCATGGTGTGGACACTGGGCAGAGCATTTCCTTTTAAGCCCCACAAAAATGGGTCACTGAGCGTTGTCAGACACCTCTGGGAACTGGAACTGCTGCATAATGGCAGAATATTTTGCCAGGCTGCTTGCAAGAGCTGCTCTTTATCTGAAGAGCTGTGGTGCACGTTGTGCAGCTTCTCGCTGCTT